ATTAGTAAAATCTATGCAACACACTCAAACCATTACCTAGCCTTACTCCCAGATTTCGTGACAATCTACACTCTTTAGGTTTTGCCTTTAGGTTTATTATTGGGTAGAGAAAGAGCTGTATGGCAATTTGTAGGAAGTTATCTAGAATCCAAGGCCCGCTCACAGTTATTGACGAGTGTCCAAGTTGAGGTCAACTCCTGATCACTTTGTCAACCTACTTCTTTTGGTAGTAATGCTGAAAAGATTGTCACTGAATTCTTCCAGGGTGCTTTTTCCACCCTCCAAGTTAGCATTTCCCCCCCGGGATTTCCTAGTGGTCTCCCATCCAAATGCTTTTTTAGCCAGATCTTTTGTTTTTAAGCTCAGACAAGGTCAACAAGAGCTGATCTTTACCACTAATGGTAAAGATCTTTACCATAGCTAAGTCTTCTTTCCTCTTGCATCCCATCACTGAATAAAATCCCCTTGTTGTAACCCATTTTCTTTCATGCTTAGCAATTCTAGACTTTGGAAAAATTACTGCTAATTCTCTTTTCTTTCTCTCATGCATTTAGTTAGCTCTGGCAGCATGTGAAGATTAGAAAAGTTGTCATGGTCACCTGTAGTTTAGAAATATCTGGATAGTGCAACATAGCTAAAACTCACTTTCTGCCCTATCCCCTAATTGTAAACTTAAAATGGATAATATGAGGATCTAACAGGACATATATTCTAGATTTTTGCAGACAATGTTGTAGAAGCCAGTTAGGAGAATAAGAGCGAGTCCTAATTTCCCTTTTCATGAGGTAGATAAAGTTTGCCTAGAACATTAGGCATGGCTAGCGTTTTTCTTTTTGGTAGACGGGGCAATGTTTTGAAATATCGGATGGATGGATGGATGGATGGATGGATGGATGGATGGAAGGAAGGAAGGAAGGAAGGAAGGAAGGAAGGAAGGAAGGAAGGAAGGAAGGAAGGAAGGAAGGAAGGAAATGGGGGAGGACAAAGGAGAAAATGTAAAGCAACTTCACATTTTAGATCTTGCTCAGTGATACAAAGTACTGAGATGAAGGGCAGTAGAGAGGGCTTTTATCTTTCAACAAGTCTCTTGCTTTTCCTCCTCCTCCCCCGCTCGCTTGAGCCGACCCTACAAGTAAAGCGCAAGACTGGTGCATTAGCACCATTTATTCCCTTGAGAATAGGACCTCTGTGCCCAGTTCTTCTTTACAAGAATGCATATCCTCGTGGGAAGGGTGATAGAAAAAAGGAATTTTCCACAATGTCTCAATGAGTCAGCCCCCCTACCCCTGGGAGGAAAGTCCAGCTTTGGGACATGGGCTTTTGTGGTGCCCTTGTTGGGCTTCTACACAATAAATTATTTTTTACAAGCCCTTGAGATACTCTCATTCTTGTTTTGTTTTTTTAAATCACAGTGCCTGCCCTCCTTTTTCTTCCTGTTTTACGAATCAGCCCCTTATTTGCCTGAAAATCACAGCAGGCCACTTAGAAAATCACATGTATTTGGTTTATTTGATCCAGCAGAGGAAATTGCATGAGTAATAATGCATTAAAATATAGTCCAAATTGCAAAAATATATATATTGTGCTCTTTTTAAAAACATACCAAGCAAATTTAACAGGAATACACTTGAGTAAACAGCATTTTGCATAAAGGAGCTTTAGGAAGTAGTCAAAGAGCCACATCAACCCTTTGAAAGTTTTTTCTACCGTATTTCATTGTCCTGTTTATTGCTTATTGTTCTGAGCAGTGAGGAATCCATTTTAAAGGACACAGAAGATGCAAAAACTTAGCACTCAGTTATATAAAAAGAACCGAAACATGCATAGGTAGAAATTCAGTGAGAAAACATTTTGACAGCTAAAATCAGAGCCAGGGCTTTTGCATAAGAATGTCTTTGGATTCAGAAAATAAATGCCACAACTTGAACATATACTTAACCTATTTATCCTCCCATTCCATGATTCATGCTATCGTGTAATATGCGTGGAATAATTTGGTAATGGAGACCATGACAGAATAAAAAGACAGGGAATTAGTCTCTAGATGGGTCATGGAGTACTATCAGAGAAGAATGAACAGCTGTGGAGTTGAACTCTTGACTCTGAAAGCCCAAAGCAGCCCCACCCATTTTTTTCTGAATTTTCATAGATACTCAACATTAATTTCCGATATTTTTCTTTTCAACCAGAGAAAAGCTCCCAACTAACAGCAATAATTAAAGTTAAGGTAGTAAGAAGAGCAACTGTGTGGCTGCCTGGAATATTTTGTGTTTGTCAAGGAAACAAACAAAACAGAATATAATTCCAAGTTGTACGAAATGAATTGAGAGGAAAAAGCAAAAAGAAACAACATTCAACCCAGTCTCTTTTCATCAGGTGTCTGGGTTGGATTTTGTCTATGTTTGACCCAGTTCTGGCCAGCCTTTGATACTGTAATCGCTGCACAAGAGCCAAGCATTCGGCAAGTCCAGCTTTCTCCAGTATTACAACCTTAGCTTCGGGGGAAAGAGGTACATCTGCTTAATTTCTGCTAGTTGTGCAGTCTAACTAACATCACGAAAACTCTCAGGAAAACCTTCTACAGCCCTTGACAATGAACCTCTCTATAAATACATTCCAAGTTTGTTTATAACTCTATTTTGTTTTTTTCCTCTTCACGTCATTTTCTGACCCTGAAATGTGAAATTTTGGTTCTTCCCAAAATAATGAAGGATTGTATTCTATATAAAGTTCAGGACCTCTCCACTGCTACTTGTAATGAGTAACGGTTGTTGCTTTCTGTTGATCTGATGCTCCAACATTTATTTTTATTGTGACTGAAAAAATGCCCCCCACCCTGGTTCTCCCAGGTAGGTAAACTATACACATTCACATTTGAAACAGAAAGAGATAAACAAAAGACAGAGGCACAGACTTAGAAAAGACAAACACGAAACATTATTCAAACTGGCAGTGGAATTTTCCTTTTATTGTTACACCCCAAGGGTGCCATCCTCAAGCAAGGCAACAAACTAAGAGACGGGCAAAACGCACCGTTCACAAACGACAAACAATATACAATATGGCTCCCATAACCCGCCCTCCCACTCCCTATGCCACTACCAGCACCCAGGCCATATGCTTTGGGACCCAAAAAGTGGAAACCAAAAACTGTAATTCCTGATAAGAGTCTTGCATCGGGTTGCTTATTCTCTATGACGCAATTTTAAAAAATCACAACAACTGGAGAGTTAAAAGAAGAAACCAATCAGCTGAAACAATACAAAGGAAAAAAGCAAATTGACTCTCTTCCATTGGGAGAGAGAGAAGGCAGGAAAATTACTTCCCAACCCTCTCCCTTATCTTGGAGATTAAGTTGCATATGAGGGAATGCCATGGTTATAGAGGAAACTTGGTGCACGGGGGAGGTATGAAGAAACCTTGAAAGGGAAATTTGTTCTTGTCCACTAAGACAAGATGGGTGAGACTGCAAATCCAACTGGGAAATGCCCTATTCATTTATTCACCACAAAAGGGATTTCTGTGCATGATGGAAGCCAGGACACTTCAGAACTATGGATATCTGCTAGTCCTTCTTACTATTAAGAACTGTAGGAGATACATAGTGCTGGGAAAAGAGCAAGCAGGATATTGTTTTAACTTCTGTATCAGGGTGTCCAAAAAAGAGAAGACTGAAACATACTTCCACTTTTCCAAAGAAAGCAAGCTTATGAGCATGTTTCCATCTTCTTGGAAAAAAAATACCAGTGAAAATGAGAACTTCAGGAGCTCCTAAATATTTACACACTGCAGTATTATCCTTGTGCAACCTCTATGCTCTTCCTCTTACACACATCTACCATTACCCACTTGGATAAGCATATGGTCAACTCCACAAAGTTGCTCATTTCTTTTATGCTCTCACCTGAGCCTACTTCACTGAGATTTCAAAGATGGCTGAGGTCTTTATAGTGCCTCAGGACTAATTAAAATAAAATACGTGAGGAGCGAGGGATATTTGGATCAAATATGCAGGTGTAGATATACTGGTGTCTACTGGTAACAATATCCATATCCTGCCTGCCCCAATCACCAGACTCCATATGGTTTTAACCCTGGCAAAGACCTTTCAAAATGGTGTGTGTGTGGGGGGGGGGTCTTGATGGCAATCAATAGCAATGGCAGTTCTTAGCCTCCACATCTAACTTTTAAGTACCACTGTGTTACACATTCTACCCTCAAAGTCTTTCTCATTCATTACAAATACATACATACATACACCCACACACAATATATGTGACAAATCCCCCAAACATGAGGTAAATAAAGTCAAATCAGTATCCACGGGACTCCCCCATACAGATAGTTCAAAGAACCCACCAAGAACTGTGGGAACAAAGACAGGAAGTGTCTTTCCTTCACCACCCCCTGAACTCTGTTGATTCTAGCCCCCAACAGAAACAGATTAGACGCAAAACCACCTCCCAATGATGCAATTCACAAACAAAACTGGGACACGCGACTCAGCATTGATCTGGGAAGTCAGTCGATGCAACCTGACCCAGAGGGCTAGTCTGGATTGCAACAGAAGCCTAGCTTGATCCAGCACACCCAACTACAAGAGCAAAAACGGGGCTTGGCTTTGGAGACAGGCACGACCCAAGAGATTTACTGCCCCGATTTCACGTTCAGTCCAAATACAAGTTGCAATTAATTCATTCTGCTCTCATCTGCTCTGAAGTGGGCCGCAGAGATTTGGCATGCATTGACCCAGTTTGGAATGCATTCAAGAGAATGAATTTCCAGTCTAGTTCACTAAGGAGCAATAAGAGGCCTCCTGCTCAGCTATCTTGGATGGGAACTACAGACGCAGCCTCTCAACAAAGGAAGCTGGCAGGGAGTGAAGTACCAGACCAGCAAACAGTGTGTATCTGACTCACAGTGAGCCCATGACATGAAAGCAGCAGGGACATGACAACATGGAACCAGGCACCTAGCTGGGCAAGAAAGGAAGAAAGGGAAAAGAAAAAAAACCAAGAAGGGTCGAGGGCTGGTTTCAATCCTCTGTACTTCTGAAACAAAGCCGTCTTCTTGACTTGCAAATGCTTCTGCCATTCCAAGCTGCTTGCCCCCTAATGCCATCCCTTGGTGTTCATGGGCACAAGATGCTACTGCATCTCAGAGAGGGACAAAACCCGGTTTTTGAGATACAAACCTAAAGCAGCTGTGGGTACTAAGGTTAATATAACCTCAGGCCTCATCAGGACACTCCTCCTCATGCTCAAGAGGAACAAGAAAAACCTTCCCAGGTTTGTCTGCTTTTTATTAGTCAGGTGCTGTGGGCTGCATATGAGAACAGGCTGGGAGTTCCTCATTTAAGCAAGCCCACTGCTGCATAGCCGCAGCTGAGCCTTTTAAGAGGCCTGTGGGAGGAGGATGAGAGGACAGAGCAGGCACAATAGAAGAGGGAGGAGCGTGATCCATGCAAACGCTGCTATACTTGTTGCTCCGCCCCTAGGACAAAGTCCTTCCCCTTTCCTCCCACACTTTCAGTCCTTCTCCTGCATCATACTCTCCTCTGTAATGCCCTGAGCCGCCAGCTCAGCAAGTACATTATCTAGGTAGTTGGGATCAGGGTAGCCGTGGCCCGTGAGATTAGACCCAAATTCCGTCTTGTGGTGAATCTCATTCCAGATCACTGTATCAGATTCCCCAGTGGTGCTTGAAGTGCCAATGGCAAAGATCAGCCTTCGATCCCAGGCCACCAACAGCAGTTTCAGCACCTGCAGGAGGAAATGGATGAGAGTGAGAAGAGTTGGGTGTCCAAACCAGAAGGGGCCTAGATCACAAACAAAATCACTTGCGATTTTTTTCCTACTGATATTCTTGCAAACATCTGGATTCTGATGCATAGAAATCCACCGATATAATGGATGGCATGAAGATTCTGGAATGGAAGTTCAAGGGGGGGGGAGCCATTCCAGAGCAAGTGCCTCCTTAGCCCACAACAAGAGTGTAGGAAGACAAAGAGGATGAGGCTGGCCCCTCCCTAGAGACTCACAGGGTATATCCACTAGTTGCTTTAGCATAGGTTTCATCTGGTGAGATTCTGTCTATTAGGTGCAAGCTAATAAAGGAACTGAACTATACTGGATTGTCTCGCTGCTGTTCTTGGGCTGAACCTGACAACCTAATACATATGGATAAATTCTGCAAGCTGATCTGTATAGCTGAAATAACATTACAACGCTAATAGAGGCTATCTCCGAAGCCTTTCCTGCTTCAACCTTTCTTACAAAGTGTTTTAGACAGAAAGGAGGTTTCTTCTTCTTCCAAAAGGGGAATACTCTTGTTAATGTCAACCACATCAAAAGGAGCATTCAATAGGGAAGACACTGGATTAAGACCGAGGAGACCATGAAATTTACTGACTGGCTTTGGACTACTTCCTCCCTCTTATTCTGAAGATAAAATTCGGAAGGGAAAGGAGATGAAGGAGAGAAAGAATCCCATATGACTCCTTGAGCATTTGGAGGAAAGGAACGACATTACTAAAATGACAAGCAAACAAACTGTTTCCAGGCAAATCAGGTCTCCTCTCCACTGCTGATATATAATTATTCTCAGGTGTGGGGGGGGGGGCGTGTGTGCAAAGGGTTGAACTACAATTTCCATCAGCCTCAGCTACTCTGTCGGCTAGAAACAACTACAATACAATCCTTCTTTACTTTCTAGGCTTCTATTTCCTTCATAGGATCCAAAGAAACATAACCAAAAGTTGTGTAAGTTGCTCAGATGAAACTCTCTGATGTTTCTTGCCCTAGATCAGAATATACTTTTTTTTGATAACCAGACCTGTTCCAGAGACACATTGTTCTATTTGCTATAATATCAAGATATCTCCTACCCTTCTGCCTCTTTCACTGTCTGGGAGGTAGCAGTGTCGAGGGAAACCCCGGGCTGTGAAACTCTTCCCAGGATTTGGATGCTCCGTTCCCTAGAGAGAATAGGAAATATTATTATTTCTGGGTAAAAGACAGTACACAACCAACCAAGGCAACCATCATACAAATTAACTAAAACCTCTTTTTAGATGTCTCTAAAGAAAATTCAGCTTCAGCAGATGGCAGTACCTAGTTGAGATTGTAGGGGCTGAGAGCTAAGTTGGGTTGGGAGCTACTTGGACTGGAGACTTCTAAGCTATGCTAACAGTTTAGGCTACACTGGGAAGCCAAAATCATCTTGGAAGAAGCTGGTGGCTAAAGGCTTCTGTACTGCTGCCCAGAAAACTGCATGGATATGACTATGAGGCCACCAGAGTAGAACATGATTTGAAGGAGGCTTCACTTTTTAAAGGTGGTTCACAGGAGGAGGGGGAAAAAACCCAAAACCTAAATACTGGATTGCCCCCTATGCTCTTGGTTGCAACTGCAGTCCTCCTGAGACCCCTGTCTAGGGATCTCACCTGCACCCCTGGTGGAATGTTGTAGATAATTCGGATGGTTTTACAGTCAAGGTGTCCTGGCAGTGAATGGGGGATGAGGTGGTATTCCATTTTTCCAGGAGGCTGGGTGCCAGTCTTCACCCCATAGATGGTTTTGCAGGTTGGACACTGTAAGCTCCCATCCTAAAAGCAAAGAACATAACCAATAACAGCAGATAGTATCTTCAGAATAAGAAACCATCAAGATGATATTAAGCAGTTATACTACTAGGACAGTGAAGCAGCCTAAGTGGTAACGGGGTAATAGAGAGATGAGATCTCACTCTCTAGAATACTTCGTAACTTCATACATCCTCAAATAAAAAAGCAGAAGTCGATTAAGGAAGACTGAAGCCAAGGTCTCTCCTCTCTCCACTTGCGTATTTAGCCCCTTTAGGCATTTTATTCCAGCTACATATCTAAGTTCTTCTCACCGTATTTTGCACTTCTGAGATAGAGCCCGGTCATCTTTAAAAATGTAATGCAAGAATATTCTTACCCCCATATTTTAATAAGCAATGCTAGAACTGAAATTTTAAAAGGAGGAGAGAAAAGATGTTGCTTCAATAGTTAAGCCCATAATTTTATCACAAGTTCAGCAGTGTTCTGAACTCAGCTGACAAGAGAAAGCCTCTTTCTTAGCCTAGGGAACAGAAATGAAGCTGCTGAACTACTGAAAATGCTATAAAATGGAGACCCAGAGATGGTGTCTTTCTACCCATGGGCCTCAAATGGGAGCTGGTGCATTATGCAGTTTCTGAGTCAGGAAAATCCAGACTTTTCAGTTAAATTATGAGTATTTGCCCTTGATTTGAGTAAATTGTTGAGTAGACTCACTACAGTAATCTTAGCAGCAAACAAGCAAAAGCCATGATTTGTTTCTTTTTCTGGTTTTCCCCCTAGTCTGTGGTTTGCAGGATACATTAAACCACAGAAAGAGCAAGAAAAGTGTAGTGTGACGCGTGATCTGATCCCATGTATGCTTGCTAGAAAACTATGGTTTGGTTGAATCTGTAAAGGTAGGTTTGTTTTTAGTTTTTTTAGTTAAGAACTGATTTTTCAGTTTAAAGTCATATTCCTGTGCAAGCATTAAAAATGTAATTATATAAAAAATCAAGGAAGTTTTGGCATTGTAGTTTAGTGGGTGTGACGCTGAGGAAGTAAGCAGAAGCCAGATAAGAAGGCATAAAAATGTCAGGCAGTGCAAAAGGGCTCATCTTGTAATACTTATAATAACGAAGGAATGTAGATCAAGGGTAAGAGCAAGACTAAGGCACCAGCCTCAAAGTCTGGATTTAGGTGATTACCTTACTGTTGATATAGAGCTGGGGGCTTTTCCTATCTAGGCAAATGTAAATAATTATTCATGACTGATAATGTATCTTTTTCTATACAATCCTTTGCCAATCTGTATTCGGTGCTCTTGATCTGGTTGGCTGGGAGTCCAGGGATCACTGTTTTAGAGTACTTTAATAAAGCAGCCTTGCTTCGGATCTCCATTGCTTTGGTTCATCTTTCAACGGATCACATTTTCCCACAACAGAACACGTAAAAACAGAGGTTTTTTCATCAAATGGCTGTAAGTTAAGTCGGGCAGCCTACAATGTCTAAGAGAGATCCTGCCTAAACACTGCCATATTAACAGAGATTGAGAATCTTGTTTTTTTCAAACAATGCATTAATGAAGTTTTTAGACTGATGTGCCATCACAGAAATATAACTCACCAAAAGGGGAAATCAAAATACTATTTATTACATAGTGATCATTAGAAATCATCCATGGGATTTCTAAGCAGAGGGAATTACTGCCACTTGTGATTTGGGGCAATTCAGGGAACCAATTCTTATTACACCCCTGCTCTTTTCTCAGATTAAAATACAGTAAGAATCAATCAACAACACAGTTAAGTATGAGCAGCAGAAAGACCTTTCCTACAGCATATGCAACTTTTACTGAGGAAGTCAAATATATTGTGATGTGCATTTGCCCTACAGCTTATGAATATAACTAATGGGATTTGTAGAACTTGTCCCCTGTAAATGCCTCCACATTAAATGTAGAACAAAACACCATGGATGGCATGAAGTCACAGTAGCCAGAGAGACCTTTATTTTTAAATCTGAAGACTGTTAGATATTCAGCCTTGAATAAGGTTCATGATTTACCCAGCCTTTGCCCAAAGAATAGCAGCGCATCGCAGCTCTGCCTTCCTTTCCCAGTAACACACCTTATTTCCATTGTTATACATGGCCACAAGGCAGTGGAGGTGATACATGTGGCCACACTTGGACAGTTTGCCCACCAATTCTGGCCTGACGACTGGCTGAGGCCCTTTGTAGCCTGAGGGGGCAGAGAGGCGTTCCATGCAGATCGTACAGTCCTAAGGAGAAGCAGGAAACTGTGTTAGGTGAGAAAGCAACAGAATCCTTGGTCTACAGGAAGGTTAAGTTACAAAGGTGTGAGTTGTTGCTGCCTTACTGGTCTCCTTGGAAATAAAGAGATGCATCTGAATAAAGCTCATCTGCCACACTGCCATCCCCAACATTAAAATCATAGGAAGCTGACACATGGAAGGGAGGCTATTGAGTGGACCACCTAATTCAGTACTGCCTCTCCTGACTTGCAGTGATTCTATTCTTCCCTGTCTCTGCAAAATTCCTCAAGCCACTTTGCCCTTCCCTGCAGCTTCACTGTAAACAAGGGTAAACCATTTTTGTGTGTTTTGTGAACCACACTTTATGGCTTAGGGTTATGTGTGAACACAGTTGATGGCTGAGTTCACATTACACATTAAACAAAGACCAAATTCATTGCATTTAAGCTTAGCGCAATACATGAATTAAGCCACTGTTGTATTCTGGGCAATACCAATCAAAGAGGTAAGCTGTACAGCAATAGATAGTTAATCAACATACCACTACAGTTAGACAAATTTAATTTCTGCACTAAAATCTGCATACTAAGCATACTGGTCTGCATCAAAAAATGTTCCACTACACTTGCCTAAGCAGACGCAGATGCTTACCTCATCTGGAGGATGGCGTACCTTCTGTAGGTATTTTTTCAAGACTTCCTCTGTAGTTTTACCTGGACATCAAAACGAGAGAAGCAAACTGAATGTCTCTTTCCTGACAGCTACCAAGAGAACGGAAGACAGGGCAGGAAATGGAAAGCAGGGAGGAAGGGAGCAAGGCTTCCTAATGCTTTGTTACCAGTTTTGAGAGAACTTTGTGGAGCCTGGCTTTCTCCCCGAGCCATTGGTTTTACACACTGGCTCAATTCAGATGTCACTAAGCCGGTTAGTTTGTGAAACATAACCATAGCCTGCCTGGACATCCAAACTATCAGCTAGTACTTCTGAGTGACAAATAGAATCAGAAACTATGGCTTGAAGTAGGTTGCACACCAGCTTAATCTAACTATGATATCATGCAATGTCCTAATCAATTAATGTTAACTGAAGCTGCGTCCCTCCGTAAGCCTGCATGATGCATGTAGGCAGGCTAAGTAGAGAGAAAATAAAAGCAGTGATAAAACTTTTGCTGAGGGCTTCCTAAACATGCTTCCCAGTATTCTAACCTACCTACAGCTCTGCTTTTATTTATTTATTTTTTATTATTAAATTTGTATGCCGCCCATCTCCCCCCTCCCACAGGTGACTCCGGGCAGCTCCCAGTTAAAATCAAAAACCCCATCAATAATTAAAAATACCCCATAAATAATAATAAATTAATCCATTAAAAATCAAGTATAAAAAACAAACCCTGTACATAAATACTAAAAACATTCAAGATGACCGGGGGGGGCAAGGGCAATCACCCCACAAGCCACCTCCATTGGTGCAAGCCCCCATCCGGCCCCCAGGGCTTCTGGCACAGCCAGGATTTCACCCCCTTCCTGAAGGCCATGAGAGTGGGGGCACACCGG